TCAATCATGAGGTCACACGCCCTGTTTATAGCATCAAATGATTAATTGAAACCAAACTTGTCTGAACAATTAAGACTTGAAGATGCATTAACGTGGTGAGAACCAAAGATATAGAAACATAAACGCCTCATTGGCGGCTGTAGTCGCCGCCATGTTGGAGATATCAAAACTAGCCTGTAAACAAATGGTAGTAAACAGGAGCTGTGTTTTTTCTCGATGAAAAGCACTAATGTTTACATTTCTCAACTGATTTCAGTGAGACGTTTTTATATTGAAGGGTTTATGATCTTAATGAAGTAGAATCACAAAAGATTTGTCTCCAGTTTTAGGCTTTAAACACTCTTTGATAAGAACTACCAAAAATGATGGAAACTATCTTATAAAAATGTATTTGACATGTTTGATTTTTTTAGTTTGACTCGTCCCATCTGCCGACACAGAGGGGGCGGGGTTTGTGACCTATACTGCAGCCAGCCACCAGGGCAGTCATGTCGTCCGTCTTTATACACAGTCAGTGGTCCTAACTTATTGTGACTGCATCTAACGTCGAGTCTTATTCCTGTGTGCACATTGAATGTGTATCTTATTTGTGCAATAACAACAACTTGGAGTTTCTTTGTAATCTGACAGATATTTGCCATGAGTCTCTACTTGTGCACTTGGAGAAAAAGAAATCTGATCATAGCCGTCGCTATGACAAACACAAGAGGAAAAAATTATATATGTAAATATTATTTATCCCGACGTTGGTAACGCTGTCCCAGGGCAGCTTCCCAAACCTCAAAGAGAGATACGTTATTTCACAGGAGTAACATTAACTGATGTTCTCCGTATGTATTTATCTGATGGCTTTTTGTTCCTAATCACTTTTACTTGAACAGAGAGTTTAGAGTATCGGGTTCTTTCCCTATAACCAAAGGATGTATATGTATAGATATGTTTTCTACCTTTTCTCTTAAGATGCAAAGCAGATGTTCCAAAAGAAAACATTTAGCAGGGAAAGAATCCCAGGGAGCAAGACTAAGGAATATTTTTTACTGCTTATTTTCTAGAAATATTTTTCAGCCTTATTTACTGTTTACACCTGCACTCAGAAAACTTGAGCCCAGTGTCTTTAACATTTCTATAAGCTAACGAGCTACATGTGATTTATCCCCCCCCCCCCCACTCACTCAAGTGCTTTCATGTGAATCAGCGTCGACACGATCTCTGAGCACGATGACACGCTGTCACTTAGATCTGTATGTATGACGATGGCGCGCCCACGCTCATCTGATTTACGGACAGCTTTATTTATTTAAAACGTCTTTGTCATCTTTTATCAACCTTATTTTTGTGAGACATTGTTTTTAATCTGAAAGGCAGCTCCAAATGTGTCCCAGTGTGTTTTAACCGACTACCTGCGCGTCTTAACTTCAGTGCGAGCACTACTGACAGGCATCGTACATGCACGGATGATGTAGTCACTGAAATGTGCAACATGTGTTTGGGTATGCTTCCAGTGTCTTTGTTTTTTGTATTTATCGTCTGTGGTCGCCTTCTGGAATGACATTCCATATCAACCTGCTTTCAGTGTCAAGTGTGTTATCTGTCTGTCTGCCTTGTCTGTGTGAGGTCGCCCCAAAATGTCTTGTTCATGTGTATGTGTTTATGTTCTGCCACTTTATTCATGTGAATCAGAGTGTCAGTCAGTCAGAAAGCCAACGAGACCATTCCTGTAAATAATCATCAAAGTGGGGTAAAGCTGGAGTACGGGAAAATCTGGAAAAGGCAAAAAAAGAAAAAAAAAGAAAAAGAAAAGGCAGAATTTTAAAGTACACCCTCCTCCTGTAGCTCCTCCCTCTCTGCCATAGGCCCCTCCCACCAGATGACTACAGGCATCGATTTATTTAATTTTATTTCATCGTACAGATGTACGCAGCATATTCGCTCAGTCCCTTCTTGCCTCGCTGGCTAGAATTAGCTAGCTAGCTACCCCATAGCTTTTCTGCCTCCTTTACTGCTGCTGTCTACCTCCCCTGGAGGAGAGCAGGCAGCAGCTCTGGAGACGGCTGTAGCAACTCGAATTCAGCCAGCACAAACCCCCAGTCCTGGGTGTCACTGAGGGCTGGTGGCCAACACAGCACCGGGTCTAACCTTTGTAAGGGCAGCAACAGAAAGTTTGCTGATCCAGTGCAGAGTCAACTATGTGGTGTCCTGGAGGTGGCGTTTGCACCAGCTGGATTTGTGTTACTGCAGCCGCTGACTGGGGTCCGTCCCTGGAGCTGCTGCCCGCTCCCCTCCTGGCAAGGTGGTCTGTAGAGGTGGGGAGTGAGGCGGAGGACACACAAAGATCCAAGGCGCTAGCTAACGTTAGGTACAAAAACATGAACTTGAAGCTGCAGTCTTGAGGCTTTAGCTGCGGTTAGCATCAGGCTAAACTATATGTTGGCAGTTGTCACCAGTGCTCGAACAGCAACTTTCTCCGCCATTGAATCAGGCTTTCACCATCTGAAGTGACATGCACGCACATCTGCATTTGTAGAGCAGCCAATAGGAACGCCCTCTGTCTGAAATTACCTGTGATTGGCCAAAGTCTCCCGCCACCGGTGAGATTTTTTTAAAGCCTGTAAACAGAGCCAAGAGGAGGAGCATAAGTTTAATATTCTCAGTCCATTTGTGTTACAACATGCTTAAAGTTTATTACAGGATTTTTTTACCTACTGAAGCCAAAATTCAAACTGCCTATCCCAGCTTTAAACTCAAGTTTAAAGAAACCATTGATGTTTTTGGCGTTTTCGCACAGCAGGACAACTTTTTGGGGGTCTCTCTTTTAACTGTACATCCATTAGATATTAATTTTATTGTTGTCTTTGAGTGAGTCATTCCAATATTTTCCACAGAAAATAGCTTGAATAACATCTCTGTGATGCATTTGCTTTCAATAAATATAATATAAAAGGTGGAACACATGACTATGATCTGGAATTGCACTCTTCAGAAATGTGCTCAGACACTAAAGAAAAGAAACTTCTCGTCAAAGTTTCCTCTCAAGCTGTCTGCAGCACCGTGCAGTATGTTACATTTCTGTCTATGGAGGCAAAAATGTAATTGCAAACAGCAACGTGACTGTTTCTCTCAGCCAGGTTTCCCTCATTGAAACTGAGGAATTAAAGTCAAGAGAGATTATCACAATGTTTGGAGCGCTTTGATGTAACGTGACGGAGTATCTACCACAAATACAGGCAAACCGACCTGCGGTGACCTTCGGAAACTTGCTTATCAGTCGCGTTTGCCCTTGAAAATGTATTTGGGTTGGAGATAAACCACTTAGAGGAGTTTGTAAAGCCATGATGTTTGTTGACCATGCTGTTGGAAACAGTGCTGCAAAGATTAAATCACTTTGTTTGTATCAAGTCCTGGAACGGCTCTGTTTATTTACAGCAGACGCACACACAGACTGAAGTCACAACCTAAAAGCTCATGACAAATATGTCTGAAAGCCTTTTTGACTGATAAGTCACTGACATCCTGCCATTACACAGCATTCCACTTTGGCCAATCACTCACTCCAGTCTTAAAGGGAGAGTTCAGGTTTTCTGAAGTGGGGTTGTAGGAGACGCTTAAATATAGTCAGTGTATTACAGACAGTAGATGTTAGTCAGCACACCAGCACACTACTGCTGTGGAGGGGTCAGCAACAAATATCTTTAATCCACCAAGTCTATGCTATACTGAGAGTATTTTCACCGCTTTAACATAATGTCAGACAACCCTTTCCAATGGGAAAACCCTAAAGTCACACAATAACACAAACAACATAACTGTTCAAGGCAGCAGTAGACCAGCAGCTCCTGTGTTCAGCAATGTTAAATCACTGTTTTTCTTCATGGAGTCTGGCTGTGAAGAGAGCGCGCTGTAGGTGCTTCATTCTCCAGCCGAAAATCATTTTGACATAAGGGGGCTTTCACACCTGCCCTGTTTGGTTCGGTTTAATCCAACACAAGTTCGTTCGCCGGACCGAGACCTTCTTGAAGAGGTGGTCGCGGTCCAGTTACAAACAAACTCTGGTGCGGTTGGTTTGTGGTGAGAATGTGTTCCGACCTGGATGTGAAGCAACTGCAGTCACTACACATTGTTTGGGTTAAACATGAGTATGTTACAGTCCTGTAGTATTATTAATGTGCACCTCCTCCTGTACTGCCTTAATATTCACATTCAGCACATCCAATGCATCAAAACATTGTTTTCTAGTTGGAGCCGCGCCTCGTTTTCAAACTGTATGTTTTGACTAAAATGAACAATGACAGCAATATAGTCCACGATGAGCAGCGCTAAAATCAACCTGCGTAGTTGTCCCTCCATTGTGACATTAGAAAGTGTCACATTTATCTTGCAAGTGTACTCTTCTTCAACGTTTGCTTTACTTCCTGGATTTTTCTGACCAATCAAGAGCAGCTTTCTCACACAAGGCATTTTTACCTGGTGTGTTTGTAAATGCTGCCGTGAGAACACGAACCAACTCTAGGCAATTATACAACTTTGGAACAACATGAGTCCCTGATTCAGACCAAAGGAGACGACTCTGCTGAGAGCACCCTAAAATGCATGAAGTTGCTGACCCTCCACATACGTACATTGCTTAGCTTCTGTGTCGGACTCCAGTCTGCTTCTCCAAACTGGAAATCAGAACTCTCCCTTTAAACTTGTATTTTAGTGCAACAGTGTGCCAGCAGGACGAGATAATGACTTGTTTCCAGAGTTTAGAAAATGGCAAAGCAACCGTAAAGAAAATAACATATAATTTAAGAGACTGTGGGAACATGTGAAATGATTTCTGGAGGAATTTCTGACTTTAAAATTCACTTTATTAGATGAAATGTCCTCGTGTCAGTGAGTGAGCACATGTCCACCTCATGTCCTGGAGGTTCTGTGTAAACTAAACCTTGTACCTTATCAAGAACCTCAGTGGCCCCCCTCCACACAGCTGTGAGCAATAAGCCTCCCACCCCCAACTCCTTCAGCATCAACCTTCTGAATGCGTGCGTAAAAGGCGAGTTTACCGAAACCGGTTGGCTGGGCGGCGCACACACACACACACAAACACACACTCGAACCGGTGGATGAACTTCAGCTGGATAATGGATTAACGCATCAGACAGATAGCAGAAAACGCGCAGCATACTATGAGCTCCAGATGTCAATGTATTGGAAGAAAACACCCACCCACCCACGGCGGGATGACTCACAGTTTAAAGTAGTTGAATAAGCGGTCGCCGGTGCGGACGGGGAGATTCTGCGTGGGGTATTTAACTTGTTTCTGCTACTTAAAGCGCTTCATACCAAGGTTTTAATGGGGCACAGGAGCTCGAGCCACCACACGGACTTGCTGCGCGAGGCGCTGGTGCCAGATATGGATAGCGCGCGGGATACCTCCGGACGCTGGTGCGCATCTTCATAAAGTGCGACACTTGGACACCGACGAGGCCAAAAACTTGATCTGTCCCGAGTCACAGCTGCAGACACACCGGAAGACGAGCAGGACGAGCTCCGCTTCTCCCCAAACACCGAGTTAATTTAAGGAGAAGAGTTTGAGAAAAGCTCTAAAGTACTTTTCCTTTTTTTTTTTTTTTTTTTTTTTTTTTTTAAATTTAAACAATCTTCACAGGAAGCTTTGAAGATGCGTCAAGAGGTCGCGAGGAGATTTCACGCGCTGCTGGTGACTTGGTCGATACTTGTCGTTAGTTTGGGGACAGGGTTTCCGACCAGACACAAGAATGTCGCCCACAAGGTGAGTTTTATCCACAGATTCATCATGTGTGGGGTTTCTGAAGTTTAACAAGTTGCAGCAACAAATTTCAAAAAGATGTCAAGTTTTAAAATCACACCTGCCGTTAAAAATAAACGACTTTCTTCGGTCAAATAATTAGCTAGCTTAATGCTGTGATGCACCTTTGCTAACTGAAATGTTTTAAAGGGTTTGTCCTCTATATTTTTAATTACAGTCCCTTCATTAATGTCAACTAATACTTTACAAGTTACTATTTCCAGTACAATAAAATCACACCTGCCTCTACAAAACTACTTTTTGGGTCAAATAATTAGCTAGCTTAATGTCCTGGTGCATCAATGCTAACTAAAACATTAAATGGTTTTGTGAGATTTATTGCTAATTATAGTACATTTTTCATTAATGTTGACTTAAACTTAATATTTTTAATCTTTATTGTTGATTAACTAACAGCACCTCAACTCATAGTCTTAATGTTATAAAGTTATTTATGGTACTATAAAATGAAAAAAAATAGCTATCTTAGTGCCTTGGTGCAGCTATGCTAACTAAATGTTTTAATGTTTTGTGAGATTTATTGCGTATCACATTACGTTCATTGATGTCGACTAATAACTTAATGTTAGATAAGTTATTGACAGTTCTATAAAATCACACCTGCCTCAACAAAACAACTTTTTTGGATTTAAATAATTAGCTAGCTTAATGTCCCGGTGCCTCTATGCAAACTAAAATGTCCTAAAATGTTTGCTGCTAATGCTAAAATGTTTTTTTGTGAGCTTTATTGCTTAATACAGTACATTGATTAATGTTGACCACAACCTCATTTTTAAACATTTTTAAATGACAGTTTTATCAAATCACACCTGTCACTTACAAAATAACTTTTTTAGGAGGGTCAAATAATTGGCTAGTTTATGCCCTGGTGCATTTTTGCTAGCTAAAATGCCCTAATGGTTTTGTCTACTGTATTATCAATAACAGTACCTTTATTAATGTCAACTAATAGTCTTAAGTTTACGAAGTTATTGACAGTACTATAGAATCACACCTGCCACTAACAAAACAACTTTTTTTTGGTGGGGGTCAAATAATAAGCCACCTTAGTGCCCTGGTATAGCTATGCTAGCTAAAAATGTTTTAATAGATTTGTCGGCTTTTTTACTAAATACAGTGTCCTCGTTAATGTTGGATAATAAGTTAATTGTATGATAGTATTATAAAACCACACCTGGCACTAACAAAACGACCTTTTGGGGCGGTCAAATAATTGGCTAGCTTAATGCCTTGGTGCAACTATTGCAACAAACATCCCTAATGGTTTTGTCCTCTATATTTTTAGATAAGTAACCTTCATTAGTGTCAACTATTATTCTTCATTTTATAATGTCATTGAGACACCTGGCCTCAACAAAATTAGCTAGCTTTATGCCTTGGTGCATTTTGCTAACTGTTGTAAAACATCTCAAATAGTTTTGTCCCCTTCATTTTTAAATACAGTAAAGTTACCTTCATTAGTGTCGAGTAATAGTTTTCAATTTATAACATTATTGGCAGTATTAAAAAAATCACACCTAGTGTTGCAGTGATATACTGGTTTAAAGGTATACTGTGATATAAAAGTTGACGGTTATCGCACCGCGTACATTTGCTTGTCTATGATAATGAAATAAAAAAAGCACTGACATTGAATCTCCCCTTTATTTTAGTTTTTTCTAAGGGGAGACTTTTCACACATACTTCCATAAACAAAATGGTTTAAGTTTCAATTATATTAATCAAATGTTTGTCTGCCAACAGTAACCCTTCTGTTTCCAGTCCTTTAAGGCTCATTCTGACTGATAATAATGTAAATTCTGTAATACCGTGAAACTGCGATATTTTCTGAGGACAGTTATCGTACCGTTAAAGTCTTACTTTTGTGTGTGTGTGCGAAATCATTAGCAAGCAAAATGCCCTGATGCATCTATGCTAAATAAAATGTTTGTGAGCTTTATTGCTTAATATAATACCTTCATTAATGTCAACTAATTGTTTTAATTTTATATTATATTTATATCATTAACAGCATCATAAAATCACACCTGCTGCTAACAAAACTTTTTGGGTCAATTAATGAGCTAGCTGAATGTCTTTGTGCATTTTTGCTAACTGTTATATAGGGGTGAGGGGAAAAAAATCGATACCAGATTGGATCGCGATATTTTTCTGTGGCAATATCATGTGGATGCAGGGACACCAAATATTGATTTTGTTTTATAATACAAATTATTAGCATTGCAAATATTAACAAAAATTTTTGGTAGCCCACTAGAATTTTTTCTCTGGGGGTTAATTAGCAGAATACATGTTATCACAATACTCAGCATATCGCAACATATTTAAAATCACAATAATATAGTATCGTGACTTAAGTACCGTGATAATATCATATTGTAGGTCCTCTGGTGATTCCCACCCCTATATGTTGTAAATTGTCCCTAACAGTTTTGCCAGCTTTATAGCTAAATACAGTACCTTCGTTAATGGCGTTTTCTTTTCTTTTTTTGGGGGGGGGGATCCAGTACTTAGCTAGCTAAATGCCCTGGTGCGTCTTTGCTAACTAAAATGTCCTAATAATTTTGTCAGCTTTATTGTCAAATACAGGACCTTCATTAATGTCGAATTATAATCTTAAATTCTGAAATATAATTACAGTAATTAATCACGAAATAAAAACAAATAACGTCAAATTTTGACGTGAATGAAGTAAAATAAGTTTTCATACTTATGTTGGTTATCAGCAGAGGTAGAACCAAGTCAGTGATTGTCAAGTCCCAAGTGAAGTCAAGTCATAAACAAGTCATAATGCGTTTTTCACCAAAAGTAATACCATTTCAACGGCATAGTCATAATATACTAAATTAATGCTGTTTGTTGTGTCTTGGTCTGTCATTTTTGACCTGAACGTTATACATACTGAAATAACTACCATTGTTGACTACTGCATAGTTTTTGTACGCAAACAAAATGATCTTAGTATAATTTTTTTTTCTCCAACTTGCGCTGAGTAAAATAACGTTAGTTCTTCATGGTTCTCTCCTGCAATTTGATTGGATGCTGCCAGACTGGTTCAACCTAAGTGGATCATCTGGAGAATTAAGTGTCAATTTGCAAGGAATGATTAGCGTTAAGGTTAGTTGATTCAGGAAATGAAGGGAAATGGATTGATTTGGGTTTGGGTGGAGGTATCAAGTATTTTCAATTCAAAAGACTCAAGTCCAAGTGAAGTGACAAGTCATTGGTGTTAAAGTCTAAGTCGAGTGCAAGTATTTTTTTGATTTTGTCTAGTCTGAAGTCATTAAATTTGTGACTTAAGTCTGTCTCGAGTCCAAGTCATGTGACTTGAGTCCACACTTCAGTTAAACCCAAACCCTTATTACCCAGCAACTCCCAAAACTCAATGATCTTTCAGGGACTCTGGCCCGGGGTCACAGATCTGATTGAATACAGATTTCGGTGTTACATGTCAAATTTGAACACCTAGAAGAAAGTGGAAGAAATGGTTTGTCCAGTCACTGCTCTTTTTCAGTCGTTCCCCTCAGTCAGTTTCCATCAAATGACTCAGTCAATGAAGTGACAGAGTTTCCTCATCAGCGCTGGCCGCTCTCCTTTGTTGCACGTCTCTGTCCATGTATAGTAAGGTTTGCCATCACTGGGCATACACCCTGCTACAATAAATCCAAACTCTCTCTACACACAGGCTGCGCAGTGTGTGTGGTGTGTTTCTATGGGAATGTTTGTGTTACACACGGACATATTTGGATATCAAAGTCTGTTTGTGTGTGTTTGTGTCAGGGTTCAGTCTTTGCCTTTGAACTCCCCTTCTTGTGTGGCCTCCCATGGATGCCCTATTGGGACTCTCTATCATCATCCGTCTGATTGATGTCAAAGCAGAAAGAGACAGAGAGGGAAAACAGGGAGGGAAGAGGAAAAGGGAATGATTAGCGAGGGAAACGAGTCTCACTGTGGCTGTGCGACTGTTCATTTCATTCACCAAAAGGCTGCAGTCGGTGACTCCGTGCCTTCGCCTGTGACCTGCTGGATGCGTAAGTGGTGGATGGAGAGGAGAGATTAGCAGAGGAAGAGAGAAGGAGGAGGGGAGGCTCAGTAAAGCGGGTGCCCGGTAACGAGATGCTTATGTAACCAGAATAAGGCGAGCCCTCTGCATCCCTCACACTGCGGCTCGGGTCAAGTGTCACTCATCTGATTGTTTACATTGGCTCTTTTTTGTGTTAATGTGGAATTTCCTGTTTTTGGTTTTACCCCCATCGCTCAGCGAGGAAGGAGAAAAGGAGAAGGATGGGGGTTTGACCTCTTTTCTAAATATTGGGACCTGTTTAGCCTGACTGTTTTGTACCCCCACTTCCCACCCCAACCTCCACAACCTCACCCCGATTCCACCAGGCATGCATTTGTTGTCCTGTTTCCATTTGCAAAAGACGGCGATCAAAGAGCGCCCATAGTTTATTGTTCTTGTGTAATGGTTTGGAAACAGCCAAGTGCAGAGGCCTTTGATATCTGCGGGCACATAAATCAGGACTGCCACACCGCCTGCCTTCCCAGCCTGCCCCCCAACCCCACCGGATCCCGTCCCTGCCCCTCACCTCAGCCCCCTGCTGCCCCCATCCCGTCTCCCGACCCCTCTCTCCCTGACCTGAATGTGTGTCACCATCGGCAGTAGCAGTGACAGTAGCCCAAAATGGATCCAGTCTTTTCAGCGGAGTGAAAGGAGGATGAACGTGTTGCCAAACGGGTGGATTTAATGTTTGTCTGAGAGGAGACCAGGCCGAGGTCCCTCACTGCACCCAGATAGTCTCCCTGTTAAACACACTGCATGCCGTCAGCCGTCGGGCCTTTGATCAGAAGCGCCCCACTACCGAGAGGAGGAGAGCAGGATCAGAGAGAACGAGGGGGAGGAAGAGGGGAAGAGGAGGAGGAGGAGGAGAGTGATATACAGG